TAGACCACAGAAACTACACCTGGACTATAGAAATTACATCTAGACCATAGAAACTACACCTGGACTATAGAAATTACACCTGGACCATAGAAACTACACCTGGACTATAGAAATTACATCTAGACCACAGAAACTAGACCTGGACCAGGCATTCTGTGTTTATCTGCGTCTCTTTTGAGGCTGCCCATCCTGAGCCTGGTTCTGCTGGAGGTTTCTTCCTGTTTAAAGGGAGTCCTTCCTTTCCACCGTCACCTATGTGCAGCTCAGGATGAGGCATAACACTAAGCTGAAAATTTGATGCAATCTGCTGGATTCCTTAGATCGATAACTTTTAAAAACAGACACTTCATGTATGTTAATTACTGTATATACAGCAATACAGTACTATAAAATATGCTATAAACGCTAGTTCAATTTGTGCTGGACTGAACTGGACTCACGATTTGGACTTGGTTTTTGCATAGTACCCTGAGATGTATTTTACTGGGAAATGGCGATGTATAAACAAACTGAGTTGAAATGGATTTCCGATTTTGTTTTCCTATTGCCACAGTGATAAGATCTCTTACTGAAAAGCCACCACTGTGTTTGTTTACGTCCTCTTCGTTTCTAAATGTGACATTATTTTGATATGAGTCACCCGCAAATAAAAAAGGAACACCGCTCATCTCTTTGTCATGGATATTTCCCTCCCGAGCGTCTCTTTCTCACCTCGTTGGTGTTCCAGCGATGGCGCTCCTTGGGCAGAGAGGAACATTTGGGTAGACATTCCAGCAGCTTCTTAGGTAGGTAGATCTTTAACTGGCCTGGCTCATCTGGAGTTGAGGGGGAAAAACATCATGAGATAAAGTAAGATAAGCGAGGGACAGGAAGAAGAAAGACATTTCAAACCCAACAGAGAAACTGTGAGCGCAGAATACCAACTATATATTGAACTGACTGAAGAAAATCTAACAAACATTTGTTTGTGAAGCATTTCTAATGTCTAAATGTGAATACAAGCAAATTTATTCATTTGTGGTATTAATTTTTTTTTTCAGTCCCATGGAACACGTGCTTTAATTATTTCGGTCCACCTTGTTCTCCAGTGGGATATTTCTAATTTATCAGCATTACCACAGAAAAATGTTGGCATAGCAGCAAAAGGATATGTCAGGCAGAGAATATGAAGTGCCGGAAAGCCTTTTATTTCTAATTTTCTGTGTAGAATCTGAGTCATCCAGGTCATAGTAATCCAAGTTCTTGAGCCGGAGGCAGCTCTTTGGATGCTGAAACCAGCTATCCTCGATAGTCCAATGAAGAGCTAAAGAAAGCCGCTGGATGAGGAAAAATCCTCAAGAAACAAAGTTCAAAGTCCATTTGCTTTCTATTCAGATAGTGTTAGTTAAAATTAAAAAAAAGAAATAGCAGGAAGCTATAAACTATAAAACAACAATGCAAAAATAATACGGTACTTCTTTGAAAGCACTTCTTGTTGAAGAAAAACAGTGTTGATTGCACCGAGGGAATGGCACAGCTTTTAATTTTGGACAGCAGGTGGAGGTGCACCTTGAGTCCACCCAGACAACAAATTTAGATTAAGAAAAAATCCATTAGCATACATTATCTGTGCATTTGGGTTTGGTAAACACAACAATCAGTCAATCACATGGGCATTTCTTATCCTCTTTAAAAGCAATGCTCTCTCTCCCCACTGTGTTACACAGACAGTTTGGTAATGGAGTGGAGAATCCCAGAATAGCTGCTCCTGCGAGGAAACTATTTTTGTACAGCAGTTGGAGAGTCACAAGCTGAGGGCAGGTGATGTTTAATTCCAAGTTCAGATTATGTCTCTGGACATCCCGACAGCCTTTTGGGGGCAGTGAGGCACCACAGAAATCACGGCTTGGTAAAATAAAAAATAAAAAAAAACAGTTTACTTTTACTTCCTTGGCTTCATTGAACTTAATGGTTCTGGTAATTTGCTATAATTTCCTCTTGCTCAACAAGTCCAGTGTTGATACTGCTGCTAACACTATTGCCTTTGTGAGCAAAGCCTACACCACCTCCAACGATAATAATATTTTAGAAGAAGCTACAAGAAAATCACTCTTGTCAGCAAAAACTGCTTGTTGGTGCTGAATTACCAGTGAAACTGCTTTTACTGTGCATTTTCCTCCACAGCAGTGAATGGTGGATCACCAAAATATTGAATTGGAGCAAGTAAGGTATAAAAATTGGCACAAAGAAGGACCCCCCCACCCTTGCTTGTGATTCTGTACCCAAGAGCAGAAATCAAGAACTCAAAGGTTTTTGATAAGCACTTAAATAGAGGGCATGCATTTATGACTTCACCTGGGAGAAAGCGAGTTATAATCTGAAAGTGGATGACAAAGCGAGAAAAAAATGCCTAAATTTTACTGGTAGTGTCGGAGAGAGGATGAGAAACAATGAATCAAAGAAAAATACAGCAATTATAAAAAAAAAAATTAAAAAAAGCATGCAGTAACAATTTAAACAAATTAACAACAAGAAAACAAAGATGCAACAATAAAAACTTACAACAGCAAGCGGTGAGTGGTGTGCGTCTGAGTGTACATGCACGTGATCGCATAAGGCAGTATCGGTGCATGTGTGTGTTAGCACCAGTAGAAAGTGTGTTCAGGCACGTATGCTCCCCCTAATCAATTATGCATTTATTAATAGAAGGCCTGAGAAGACAGAATTTCAAACAGCTGAACTGTGCAGCAGCTTAGTTAAACAGCTGAATGGTGCAGCTTAGTTAAAGCCTAATTTCTTTTTTAGCAGCACTCCAGCCTCTCTGCTATGAATGCCAATCAGCGTTTAAACCCCACCCCTCCTGGCTGTAAACTCCCCCCTTTACCCTTTCTGAAGAATTCTCATCGCAGCCTTGCCTTTGAAATGTACCAGAACCACCTCATCAAACAGGCCCGGTGCACACGTGCAGGCAGAAACACACACACGCGCATGCTCACACATACAAACACACAGACACGTGTCGATCAGAGAAGACACGTCACTGTATTTGTCCCAGAATTGTCTTTTTTTTCACAAGTGACCTTGGTAGCATAATCCTTTTCAAAGCACAGCTTCATGGACATGATCGTTGTCCTAATGTCCTTCCATTTGTTCTCCCTGCTGATCAGGAATTATCTACCCTTAGCCTTGCAAGTTTCTTGAATGCCAACAAGCTTCTTCACCCCTTAAAAAAACTTGTGTCGTGCATTTATAGCAAAGAATGAGTGCCAGATTTTTTTAAAGAACTTATACCCGTCCATCTGTTTCAACTACATTTTATAGGAGAAAAACAAACCACCCACCCCAAAAAAATCTCATATTTTTGGCTCCCTATTGTCGAAAAACTGATAAAATGATGTTATAAAAACAGATCTGAAAATGGAAGTGTTTGTGAAATAATAGAGCTGTGTTAGTACCTAGATGACATCATGAAAGCCCTCACAACTCTAATGGTATGCAGATCACTTAGTGACTTGCAAATTTAGCAAAATATAGTCTAAAAGGGTGACAAAACCTGAATCATAATGTGAATATGCGCTAAAAAGTGAAACTGTTCAACCAAAGTGAAACATTACATTGGTAGCCCATCAAATACCACAATTTAGACTGTAATCACACAGAAGAGGCGCCTCCATCTGATGAATATTTTAGCCATAAAACTGTCATCTTCATATTTAACACAGAAACAAGCCAATGCCCTTGTGAGATGGCTGTCAGTTAATTATAAAACCCGACTCGGTAAAAAATGCTCCAAATGCAACTCTTAGCTCCCCCCCCCACTGATATTAGGAGGCGTCGGGGGAAATTTTCACATTTCCCCCCTCTTTTTCAGGATGAAATTAATGTGACAGAAAGAAAGGCTCATTGCACAGCAGCTAGATAGAAGGATGGAAGGGAAGGGAGAATGGAGAGCCGGGGCAGAGAGAACGAGGGAGGGAAATGGGGAGGAAGAGATGAGAAACAGAGGGAGAGCAGGGGGCAGAGGGAGGAGGAGGGATAGAAAGATGGGCGTGCATGCTAATTTTATCATTCTGCTGATAAACTTTTCCTCCAGTAATCCTCCGGCTGGGACGTGAGAACAGATAGGAGACAGGGATAGGCTCAGAGAGCACCAGCTCAAACAGTTATCCCAAATAGAACCCTCTGTTCTATTAACTGTTCAATTTTGACAGGTGAGTATGAGGCCATTTACTTAAAAATCAAATAAATAAACAAGGCGTTAGGGATGTGCGATATGGCTTAAAATTCATACCCTGATATGTATTGTGATGGGTGGCGGTAACAATATATATCACAATATGTTTTTGATATAAAACTTGCAATAGGAATGAAAAAGAAAACTATTTCGAAAACTGCTATACCACAAAATAATTTCAATCAAGAAAATTAGGTCCAGAGAGTTTTTAAATAAAAAAACAAATCAAGTATTAGACTTCTTTCTTGTAGTGCAAAGCAGTGAAAAAGATATCAAATGTGGATTTAGCCTTATGTTTTAAACAAAAGAATATGTCAACTCTTAACAGTTTCCAGTCTTCTCACTTAAGAATTTAACAGCAACAGAGCAACATTTTACATATAAACAAGTGCACATTGAAAACACTTAATAAAATTCAAAATCTCGCTGTCATTTGTTAGAGTTGGCCAAGAACACTAGCCTTTCCTTGTCCAGAAGCCGACAGGAACTTCTGGCAAGGATGCGAATAATGACACCACCAGATCTCTATCATATGTCTATCGTTTCTACCGTGTACCATATATATATCACACATTCCCACAAGGCATCGAGCAGAACTTGATGTCTATTGTATACTTAATGCGTTTGGATTAGCGGTACAAATTCTTCATTATACTATAGGGGTACCACAAGGATCAGTTCTGGGACCACTCTTATTCAATATGTAAATAAATGATCTTCAGCTGGTGTGTGATGATGTTGAATTTCATTCAATAGAGATGAACTGTCACATATACACATTGAACATTTTAAATAAGTAGTTGTATAGATATGCATAATAGACTTATGTAATGGTAGCTGTGTACTCTGTGAGAGATTGTGACGATGTGTTTTACAAGAAAGTATGATTTAAAAAAAAGTTTCCGAATGACTGTGACAATGGTCAAAACGTCAACATTGTAGAGGAAGTTAAACAAAAAGTTTGTAGCTCAAAAGGCTGTGACCGTTAAAATCAAATGTAAAAAATGTGAGAAAATAATCCTATTTTTTTAAAGGCAGTTACACTCAATTCTGAGTGTTTGTAACTATGCAAAAAGCAAGCCGTGCGTCTGCGTATACATTTGACATTTGCATCTTATTGTTGCGTTTAAGGCTTTTTAAAGTGTATTCTAGGTTGTGCACATTATTTTGTTGCTCACCTCAGTCATTATGAAATTAACACTGTTTCATTTCGACGTACTTGTACGTAGCTGAAATTACAATAAAACCTCTCTGACTCTAAGTTATGGTACTTACCTCAGCAGTCACCCTCCTGTTTAAGTGATAATCTACTGGAGGATACTTTTTAAATAAAGATGTGCAGTTTTGTACCAATTTTCCTATAATTATTATTGATCATTGGTGTGGCTTTTAAACCTGGACATTTGCCTCAAATGTTTTCTCAAATGTCATAGAAGAGCACACGTGTCGAAGTACAAATTTAGTGCTCATGAGACTGATTTGAGATGCTCAAGACAAAAATGAGAAAGGTCCAAAATGGGTTGGAAATGTCTGTAATATCGTTGTGACCATTTTAAGAGAAATTTTGTCAAAACATTTCTGAACATGTTCGAAACTCAAGCAAAAGAAACTGCATCCCTACATCTCATACAAATAAACTGAGAACACCGGGGAATGCTTCAAGACACCTTGGAGACTCTTCGTGAATGCAGTCCACAAACTATACTCCAACAGTGAGCTACTTCCTTCAGGTGTGACTTTAGATCTAAACCTTGGGTTCAAAATGGACAATGAGAATGAATAACACACTCAAATGTCGTCCACCAATTTTCAGACAGTAGAAACCAACTTGTGCAGGAAGAGTCAATAACGCATTGAAATGCTAGGGTATTGCCTCATCTGTATTATCACAGGACCTACTGCTCTAAAGCAACAGAGAAACTTTAAAACTAGTCAGATCCATTTACAGTCAAGGATTAAAAGCACTGGACTAAAAATCACCGCAGGATACTCACGAAACAATATACTCAGTAAAAGATGTGAAGTTCTGACGTTAAATTATGTACTCAGATGTTTGGCTCGTTTCTCAATTAGTTCACATCAAGGCATCTATATCATTGAAAATATTTGTACCACTTTCCTCAGAACCACAACCTCCAAATCGACTTTTCGAGGAGAATCCCTGAAAGGAACTCGTTTTTTGGGCTGTCTGTTTTTCTAAGAAATGTTTAAAAATGGAACGCAGGTCCTGATAACCAGGATTGATCACTGGCCCTTTTAAATAAACCAATAAACCAAACTGAGGTGATGATGGTGTGTGTTTGTGTGTCTTCATCTCATAATCCTAACCTCATCGACCAGCTCACTAAACAACATGTTTGTTTTGCTCCTCTCTTTATTTGCCTCGAACTTGTTCCCCCTAAACAGGCGCACATCTGCCCCACATCCTCTGAAATCAATAACCAATCAAAGCAATTATTGCCCTTATAATCCCACTAACGTGACACGGTGACCACACTCTCACACAGATTACACACTCCATCTCACGTCTGGTTTAACAAGGCCCATTGAGAATTATAGATACATAACGCCAAATGTACAGATTAAGTATGACAATAAACTGCTGATAGTCAAAGTAAGCCCTGCCTTCTGTGGGGATAAGTGTGTGTGTACATGCACTAATACACTACTGGCATGCATGAATAAACACGATGTGTGAGAGCTGAATTGGAATGACGTCTCAGCAGAGAGACACAGCGATAAGTGTGTATGTGTGTGTGAGCTGTTACAGGACAGATGAGAAGAAGACCTCAGTTCCCACATCACATCATTCTGCCAGAAGGCTTTTATACTTGCTCCCAGAGTCACCCTGCGCTACAGACAAATGTGTGTGTGGCACTTAAACACCCTCACACGCAGACGCATTAACTGTGTGAAGAGTGTGTGTGTGTCTCTTACTGTTGGCATCAGTGTCGTCACTCTTGGGAGGGGTGTGTCCAGTGTATCCAACAGCAATCCTGACCATTCGCTCTGGATTTCTTAACTTCTTCAGTCCTACAAAGGAGGGGAAAAAAGAGAGAAATTAAAAAAATACACTTCAGTTTTGGGGTCCCTGACATCTGCACCCCTTTACCTTGAACCCTCCTCCCCTAAAGCTCAGAAAGCAAAGTCTAAGTGAAGCTCATGTGGGCTGATCTGTTTTCTAATCCACTAACTTGAATCCATTGTGTCCCCAGATCGATTGGCCACAGCAGATACGCTTCCTCCATGTGTGTGACTAACTTGTACCCAGGTTTAGTTTCTCTTCTCTCTCATCATTTCTCTGTTTCCCTGACCACTGTTGCTATGATACAAAGTAGACCAACCAGTGCAGAGGGAGATGGTCTTCCAGGCTATACAGTGGATCTCTTGCCCACTGGTGTTCTCTGCCACTCAGCGCCACACACACATCTGCCAGGCAAGGAAGAGATTGGATGGACGTCTCCTGGCTTCGTCGCTGCGACTCATTTGGCTCTCAGTCAGCATGACTGAGGCTCGTAAATTATTACATCTGTTCTACACATAACAGCGAGGGGTGCGATGGCCAAAAGTCTCTCGTGCAGCCAACGTGTGAGTCTGCTTGTGTATGTACGCAAGCAAGCGGGTAGTTTTTGTATTTATGCAATGGAGTGCTTGTTAAACTGCCCGTGGGCCTTCTGTCTCATCTTCGGCTCTAGTCTTTACGCGCAACGGGACTCTCAACCCACGGCCTTCCCGTTGCCTGTGGCATCACACTGTATGCTCGATTGCACACATGTATAGTTGTGGATCTACTTTGAAGTATGCCTGAAACGAGAAATGTATGCTACAGTTCATGTTAGCCAAAAATTGCCCCTTGGAAAAATCTTGCTCCGCATTGCTCCCTAGTGGAAAGAGTGTTAAAACTCCCATTTTCAAGAAAGACTGATAAGGTCAAAGTCCAACTTGATAATTGTGTATCATTTAGGCTACCTGTTTTTTTTTTTGTTTGTTTGTTTCTTTCCATTAACATGAAAGTGAGGCAGAAGAAGAACAAGGTTGCGTTCAGGGACTGTGCGGAATATGAATGTTTTATTAGAGACCGACTGAATGAACAGTTTGTGTGATAAGTTATGGGAGCACAAACAAAAAACATTTAAACTAGATTCTTCCCATGACATGACCTAAAACTGACACGCATGCACGCCACCCCCGTGACAACCTAGATACGGCCACTTTCTCACCTCCAGTGCCTTAGCAACCATGAAAGCGCGTGAACACAAACATAAACACGCAGAGACGCACGAACACACCGCGGTGACACGGAATTAAACACGCAGCTGGTCGGGCAGGTTGGGTGCCTGGCAGGAAAGAAGAATCTGCAATTCAGTGGTCTTCATGCTTTAGGAGGGAAGCACGCGCGCGCGCGCACACACACACACGGAGAGCGCATCTGAATTCCTTCAGCGTGGACAGCTCTCGTCTCCATCACGCTAACTCATAAAGCAGCGGCTCCGGAGGAGTACCGCGCAGCCACAGAGCGTTTGAAAATAAAAAAAACAGACGAAGAAGAAAAACAGAACCTTCTATCCCGGTTCGGACCGACAGGCAGCAACTCTCCCGGTTATTCACGCGCTGTCGGTTGACGGTGACGTTCAGTCGCTGGTTCAGCACCAGCGTCCGTGTTTTTCGGGACGGGGCCAGAGAGGAGAGGGAAAGCCCCGCCGTTATCTCTGCCCTCCTCCGTGACTAAAAGTCCCCTCCTCGCTCGCCTCGGCGGAACCTCCCCCACCCCCCCATCCTCCTCCTCCTCCTCCACTCCGCCAAAAAAAATGAAATATCCGGACTTCGCCGCCGCGAATAAAAACCGTTAGTGTTTCTCCTTACCTTCCGGCTTGTTTTCGGCAGCCATTTCCCCTCCGCCGTGCGCCTCATCCCTCCTCCTCCTCCTCCTCTTCCTCCTCCTCCTCCTCTTCCTCGACTCGACCTAGTGTTGGCGGGAGGGGTGGTGGTGGGGAGGACCGCGCGCGTGCACGGAGAGGACAGCTCAAGGAGGGGGCGGGGCCGAAAAGGAGGGGCGGTGGGGTGACGCCATTGGTCAGAACAAAAAGGAGTAACGGCGGGGGGTCCGTGAAGGTCTCTGGGTTTATGGCAAGCCAATTTATCACTTAATCAGGATCTTTAACGTCGCTTTTCCCATTCTGGCGTGTTAGTCTTTTATTTCCAGGTATGAAGTATGAACTTTATGTCCAGGAAAAACTTTGTGGTTATCTGAAACAGAGGTCTAACACTGAAACTGATAAAGACGGATGGAGAGATGGCCGCATTCTCTTACATCGCTAAGAATTTGAAGCCAAAAAAATCTAAATATTTTTTGTTGCTCCCATGTTTCCTGAAGCAGATTCTATGCACTCCTAGTCTATGAAGTTGTACCATTGTTACAAAAGTCCCGCCTACCTCCCTATGCTAACAAGCTGTCAATCAAAGTGTAACATGTTTTTATTAAAGACTTCCAAAAAGCAATTAAAACTAAATGTGGAGGAAACAATGCATGCACCTCAAAGTAAGAAGTATATGAATCAATAAAAATAAATACCTGAAACTATATTAAATGTATTTTTAATCATTAGTAAGGAAAATGTGTCTTCATTTACATGGACAGGTGGGATGTAAAAACTGTACTGCAGCCTGCTACTAGGGGGCGATAGTCAAGTTTTTGTGGCTTCAGCTTCTGCCTTCTGGTTCTATCTCTATTATACAGTAATACGTCTCGATGGGGAAAAATGTGCATTTCCAAATGTGAAACTCCTTGGATGGATGGATGGATGGATGGATGGATGGATGGATGGATGGATGGATGGATGGATAAACACAAATGCGTGCCCGCTCTCCAAGCGTTACTCAGAGTGGCAGCGAGTGTGTTCCCTGGACAGATGGACGGACCGTCTGATCAGAAGGGGTTACACGCTGCAGTTCGCAGCTCAACCCCTATCGTTCAGAGGGATTATAGAGACGGTTCTGTCTTCTCCAGAACAGAGCTCGTCTCTCCAGTCAGAAGTTCAGGAATTTCTGATGAAAAACGTGATTTCCAGAGTTCCCAACAGAGAGGAAAATACGTTTTTTTTCCTCCCACTAATTCCTGGTTCTGATAAAAAAACGGAAGAATGAGATCCATTCTCAACCTGTTCACGTTCAGCAATTCGATCATGGGGAGACAATTCCACATGCTGACAAACAGCTGCTGGAGAACTTTACCAGAATGATTGGTTTTCACCTTCATAGATCTGAAGAGTGCATATTTTCACATTTCCATAATTCTGAAACACCCCACACACGTTCTCGAAATACGTGGAGACGGCTCTGCATTCGTTACACATGGCAGGAATGAGAAATCTTTTTATCTGGACGATCTGCTCTTATTAGCTCGGTCCAGTTAGAAAGCTGTCGCACAAACCAAAACGCTAGTGTTCCACCTGCTAATCCTGGGGTTTCTATAAACTGGGAAAAGCTTCCGTTTGTCCATCCCAGTTGATTGTTTATCTTGAAGTGGAGCTAAACTCAACTACAATGAGAACCCGTTTATCACTGCTAAGAGCCGAAGCTCTGTCAGCTCAGCTCCGTCGGGTCAAACCCTGCAGCATAGTGACAGTTCTGCCTGTCATGCGACGCCTGGGACGATGTCAGCAGCCCACATCGTGGCTCCGCTGGGCCTGCTTCACATGAGACGCCTTCAGAGATGGTTCGCCCGCCTGCGCATAGATCCTGTGCGCCAGAAGAGGTGGATTATCTTTGTGCCCTCCTCCGTGAGAACCAATCTGAATCACTGGGGAAGCCCTCTCATTCTGTCAGAGGGAGTTCCCATCAGCAGGCCTACGTCACACGTCTCAGTTTTCACAGACGTGTTCCTGTCAAGCTGGGAGGAATGTGTCTGTCCCAAGCAGTGGGATCACAGTGGCTGGACCACATGTCGCTTTACATAGTGTGCTAGAATGTTTTTCACGGTCTGAAATGTGACTCAGCATTTTGCCCCTGCCAAGGGATCAGCATGTTCTGATCCACACAGACAACAAGTGACGACAGTTTACATAAACCGTCAGGGAGATAGATGTGCGCTCAGCCCAACTGTTGCGCATCGTGAAACAGCTGTTGTGTTGGGCACACAGAAACCTGCTCTCCATCACAGCAATGTACATTCCCAACGTCCTGAACAGGCGAGTGGATATCATGTCGAGGGGAAGTCCCCACCACAGAGACTGGAGCCTCCATCCCGAGCTGATTTCTCTGATTTTTGGAGCAAGTTCGGCCGAGCAGCAGTGGATCTGTCCGCCACATGGGAGAACGCCCAGTGTCAATTATGGTTCTCACTGAGCCCACGAGATGACCCACCGTTAGGAGTGGACGCCTTCGCTCACAGCCCGTGGCCAAAAATGCTCCTTTATGCGTTCCCTCCAATCCTGCTGATATCACGGACGGGAGGAAGAACCGTCAGTCATCCTAGTAACTCCAGAACGCATAAGCGCTTCGTGGTTCCTGAATCTGCAGCGACTGATATCGGGTCGGCCGTGGAAACTGTTGTGGGGGGCGCTCTCCTCCAGGCAGGAAGAGCAATCAGGAGTTACCCAGAAATAGGTCAGCATCTTTGGGTCTGTCCACTGAACAGATCCGTTTAGAAAAAAATGGGCCTCCCACAGGATGTGGTGCATATGTTCAGGGTGCACGAGCTGCTTCCACCACAACGCTGTACACATCAAGTGGACAGTTTTTCAGCGCTAGTGTGCAGAGAAAGGCGTGGAGGCCATTTCATGTCCACTGGGTGGCATTCTGTCCTTTCTGTAGCAGCTGATAGACAGAGATCTCGCGTTCAACACAATTAAAACTTATGCTGCAGCTATTTCTTCCTGTCACGAGGACTTCAGTGACAGAACAGTTCTTAATCACCCGTTGATGAAGCGTTTCCTGAAAGGTGTACAGAGACACAGACTGGTGTCACGTCCACTATCTTCACAGTGAGACCTAATGATGGTCCTGCACACTCTGATCAAAACTCATTCTGAGCTTTTACATCAGGTTTCACTTAAATTCTGTCATTAAAACAGCCCTGCTGTTAGTTCTGATGTCGGCAAAGAGAGTGAGTGTTTGTTTGCTCTCTCTGTTGCTCCCTCATGTCTCAGAATTCAAGCTGACGGCAGTTCAGCTGTATTGCGTTTTAACCCTGCTCTGAAAAACAGCACAAGCTCATTCAGCTCGAGAGTGATAACCTTGGATGGGTTTTATCCTCTTCCTCATAATTCTGGGGAGGAAGCAACATCTCACCTCCTTCTGTTCCATGCTCACATTTTTCATGTTTCGTGGCGCACACGGCCGCACTGCGCCGCTTTCAGCGTCTGTTCGTGCATTACAGGGACGGCTCTTCAGGACGTCCTCTATCCACCCAGCGCCTCTCACACTGGTTGTGTCAGGTTATTTCTGAAGCTTACAGTTCATCTGGACTGGATCCTCCAGAGAATCTCAGCGCATTCCACCAGAGGGTTTTCATCCTCCAAGGCTCTGCATGGAGGGATGATAGTGGAGGATATTTGTATGGCGGCTGCCTGGTCATCGCCATGTTTAATTATTTGTTTTTATCTACGTGATGTTTCTACTTTCTCCACGACCCATTCTGTTCTCAGGGTTCTGACAGAATGATTATTTGTTTCATGGAGCCTCACTTTTGAGCTCACACCTGCCTGCATGCAGTCGCAGTGTGAGATATTTATTATCAGTCACAAGTTCATGACTGCTGATTTTATTGTTATTAATCCGTTCATCCTGAGGAGCTGTTGGTCTGCTCTGTTCATCATTACACTGTTACAATCCGTATCCTCCGTTGTTCCTATTCACAGCAGCAGGTCTGCTATCTCAGCCTTTTTTCCTCACCAGAGATATTTTTTCCGGTGCGCTCCTGCACATGGAGCACGCAATTACGCACACAGAAGGCTGAGTGATGAAATGTTTTTTTGTGCAAGCAGTTGCTTCTGTCTGAATGGACCCAGTGAGGCATAGACTACATCCTTCTTCACCTTTAACCCACTAGCAATAGCCTTACAGGGTGAATACTATATGAAATAGAACGTTGGTTACGTACTGTAACCCCAGATTCTATGAGTATAGGCGTAGCCCTTTAAGCTCTGGGCCTCACTGGTTCCTAATGGCTGAAGAAAACAGCTATTTGGGAGCCGATTACCCGGTCTCACCGTAATTTATATGACCGGGGGTGAGGCCCACACAGCAGGTGGGCGTGGAGTAAAGTTTTCAGTGCTGCACTGCGAGCCTAGATATAAACCCTCTAGCGACAGCCTTAAAGGGCTACGCCTATACTCATAGAATCTGGGGTTACAGTACGTAACGTTTTGACAAGGAGTGCTATGTTGTTATCTTTTTAAAAAAAAAGAGGCAGAAACGTGTGATTTAATTACGTGTTACAACGACCTGCCTCACATGAGCTTTTGTATCCTCTTCACTTCTTATGGTTGGCCACGCCCCCTGACGTTCACGCGCACTCTCCCTGGCTCTCTCTCACTCTCACGTCACTGAGCAGCGTCTGTATTGGAGGACACCTTGACAGCCTCCCACAGCATCATCATCATCATCATCATCATGCTCATCATCTTCTCTCCCTCACACACAGACACGCGCGCACAACTTTAGCCTTTACGCGCATACGTTGCGCGCGCGCCAATTCCTTTGCACACGCAAACTCAGTGGCCTGTACAGAGAAAAAGCGATGTAAGGTCGCGTCTCGCCATAAATTACGGAGCCTTCTTGAATTTCAATGCAAAGACGCTTTTCTTAAAGAGACACATGCGCGTGGGCCACGGCGCGGGCGCTGTCATCAGCTGCGGTGCTGCAGCCGGTGCTGAAAGGACAGCTCCTCACGCGCGCCTTCACGCCGTGTGCTCCCTCAACCTGCGCGTTTCAGTTTTCTGAACAGGTCAGAGGAAAACTTAGAGCAGGAAATGAAAAACGAGCCCCCCGGGTGTTCTTTTATTTAGTCTGTGGCAGCAAATCGTTCAGTCCCTTCTTGATAACATCCCCACAGAGAGTTAAGATTCCGCCGATCACGGAACCAGAACCGGAGGGGTTATTTATAATTCTAACGCTTTACGCCTGCTGATCCCTTCCAAACAGTGGGGCTTATCTGGGACCATTATGTTCTCGTCTCTAGCCCACACTGTCACTCTGCCGCCGGGCTGCCTTTGCAGCAAAGCCCTGTTTTTATTTTATTTTATTTTATTTTATCTTATTTATTTATTCACGCAAGTCTCTCAGGCGACGTTTTAAAAATGAGCGCGTTGTTCCAGACCACCCAGCAGATGGACAGAACTCAGACAGGAAGGACGGAAGTGGTTCTGCTTGCTGCAGATGTTCGGTTCGTTGTGCAGCCTCAGACTTTTACAACAGTGTTCTTCTAATGAGGTTTCAGCGGCTCAGGTGGAAATGATAATTTCATCAGTTGGTACTTTCCGCATTGCCTTCCACAAACTTATAAGAGTTTAGCGTGTTAAATCATAAAGTGCTCTGAAGTTTTACCACAGCCAGAAGAGCAGAAGATAAAGATGAAAAGGAATAAACTCGAGTAGTTCAGACCTAAAGAAGTGGCATAAACAATAAGTATCTTACCTGTTGTAGATCGGTCAAACCCAGTTTGCAAGAGTCCATTTCCGATCAAACCGTCAAACTAACAGTAAGGCAAACAAAAATATATTGTTGCAAACAATATTTGATAAATTACACAGCTGCTGAAATAGAATTTGATGGTTATTTGCAAGTAGAGCATTTTGGGCGCATTTGCATAAACTACTTAATTTTTTTAGATTATAGTTCTTTAAAGGGACAGAGGGCAATTTATTTGAAGTTTGGTTAAAATGAACAAATTCAAAGAAATATTGTGTTCATGATGTCGTGTTCATTTACACCGACACCTGGTAATGATTAACCAAGTTGTTTAGGGCTTTTCTAGTCCACGTGATTTTTTTCAATGCGACACCACCCCCTGCCAAAATAACAGAAGAAACAGAGTCAGGGTGTCCCAGAATTGGTTTCTGCCATCGTTGATTATTTTGAAAGGACTTTGAAGTGTCACTCATATGGGCACAGGTGAGCTCAGCTTTACTGTCAAAATATATGCACCCACTTTGATGTGTTGGACTGGGTAAAATGAAAGAATGTAAAGATCCTCGTCAAGCTGACAGCAGCACATGTCTGTGTACCTGAAGCCTTTGTTTCATTAAAGAGGATTTTATCTGCAGGGGTTTGGGGTGAGAGTCTCAAACATGTGGACACATTCCTAAACCATAGTGATGTTAAGGATGACTTCTCTTTTTTCAGTTTATTATTGTGCCGACACTTGCTGTGTAAAATATTTACCCCTGCATGAGTAGAGAACAAAATAAACATGCATTGTGAGAAGCAAGATTTTTTTTAATTTTTAAGTTTTTTTAAAAATGTTAGTAGCAGCTGGTAGCTGGAAGGGGATTATCAAATAGTTGAGGAAAAAATAAACAATTAATACTACAATTTTTAATTTGTGTAACTTTAAGTAGGGTTTTTTTGTTTGTTTTACAACTGTTCTGTTTATAGTGAAGCTGAATATCATCAATCGAGTACTTTTACTCTTCAGAATGTGTACATTATACAAACACTATTTATTACAAAGTACTGGAATCACAAAAACTTCTCCATACAGAGCAAGTAAAAGTAGAAACATATATATGACAATAAAAACAAGACATTTCAGAGTTTTAAGAAGCTCAACACAACAATTTAGAGCTCTTGAACACTACATCTTTGAATTAGTTTTGAATATTTTACTTTTAATCTGATACAAGCCACCCATGCCTCCGCTCCTACTTGGAGCTATACAAAACATGAACAGCAGGGGGCGACAAAGCAGCCGCTGTTCTAAAACGGCCCGACACCAACGACCAATGAGCTTCCAGAACACAGAGAAGGTGGGCGGAGCTAGACTGGTGTAACGCAAACATGGCGGCGTCTATAGAAGATGAGTTTCAGTGTAACACTCAGGACTACTATTCGCTGCTCAACGTGAGGAAGGAGGTATGTTGTATTTTGTTGTTTTACATAGAAATCCTGTGAACAAGCGGTCTGTAGTTAGTCGGTACCTCAGGAGAACCAGGCTCCTCAGTCAGTCAGCACCTCCTTCTCCAAGGAGGAGGAGGAGGTTATCAGCAGTTGATGTTACAGATTAAGGAGCTGTGAAAAAAAAAATCAGGATATAACTCCGTATTTATGACGAGTGCATCATCAAAACTATGTCAGCAGTAACTGGTGTCCTCTCAAAACTTAGTTTTTATTAAAACTAGGACGACTGACAGATATTTGTTGTGTTGGAGGCAAAAAAATATGATTTAAAACATTCAATTTTATAAATAATGTAACCATAGATGGCAACTGCCTCTTCATATTAGAAGTTTTAATGCCCCTGTAGAGAATGAATTTGTCAGCTGTGCAAAAAAACATGATAATCTTTTATGTTGATGGTAAATCCTCTTCTCAGATGTTATATATTTTCCCCTTTTAATTGTCATCTACTTCCTGTGATTTTAAAGGATGCTCCTTGAGTTACTCATCTTCTGAAGGTTCTCGTTGGATGCAGGCCTTCTGAGGAGTGACGCCTTCCATTTTGTCTTGTCACAGGCTACATTGGAGGAGCTGAAATCATCGTACCGTAGGCTTTGCATGCTCTATCATCCAGACAAACATCGGGACCCTGAGCTGAAACGACAAGCGGAGCAACTTTTCAACCAGGTTCACCAGGCCTATGAAGGTATAGACTTGTAGGTGGCACTAAGAACCTTTGGTAGATCGGCATAAGAAAAGACAAACATAGCTCCATTTTAATTTGGGTTAATTAAAGCATGTTTTTTATGCATTCAGATGAAATGCACCCTTAGATATATTAACCCTTAACACCCTCAAAACTAGAGCACAAAACACAAACATGAGCATAAACTGAACTGTAATGTCTCCCGTGTAACTTCCAGTGCTGAGCGATGCCCACTCCAGAGCCATCTATGACCTATTTGGAAAGAAAGGGCTGGAGGTGGAAGGCTGGGAGGTTTGTTTTCTTCACTAACATTATTTTTCACACATTTGAGTGGCTTTGCTGCTTTTTAACGCCACATACCGGTACTTTATTTGTGCTGACATTGTGTAGGTGGTGGAGAGGAAGAGGACGGGGGCAGAAATTCGAGAGGAGTATGAAAGGCTACAGAGAGAAAGGGACGAGCGAAGACTCCAGCAACGAACAAACCCCAAGGTTCATTCAGTTTCTTGTTCCACTTTTCTCACCTTCCCTACTTTTTCAGTGTTTTTCACACTGGCTGTCACTTTTATGCTTTAAACTAAATGTGCATCATACATTTGTATGGTTTTCGCTTTTATTTTTGTATATCTTTAGCTGCTTTCCACTTTAAACTAATACCATCAATCTTTTAGGGCACCATAAGTGTAGGTGTGGATGCAACAGACCTATTTGACCGCTATGATGAAGACTTCGAAGAGATGCCAGGAGGCGGTTTCCCTCACATAGAAATCAACAAGATGCACATTTCCCAGTCTATAGAGGTACAACTAATACTAGTACTTGTCTGACCTCATGCTAACTTGGACCGAGATTACTTTTGTATTCTGTGTTAACTTGTTTTCCCTTTAGGCTCCTCTGACGAACACAGAGACAGCCATGTTGTCTGGTTCACTTTCTACTCGCAATGGGAGTGGTGGGGGCAACATTAACATGACTGTACGCAGAGTTATGTCAGCTAAAGGCTGGGGAGAGGTACACAAACATTCATGCAGACACAAGCATATTGTTGTGTATATGTTAGAGGCAGAAGATAAAAGTTTTCTGGCTCTATTGGCCTTCATCATGTCGTGTTTGTGTCTGCAGGTGGAGTTTGGTGCAGGAGACGTACTAGGGCCTCTGGTTGGGTTAAAAGTGTTTCGCAATATTACTCCACGGTGGTAAGGCTCAAGTTTTTTTGTGTGTTAAATTATTAATGTGCTATGGGAACATATGGACAATGTTATTCCTCCCAAGACGGCCTCTGTCTGTCATTCCTCTTTCCAGTTTCCTCACGGCCCAATGCGGGCTGCAGTTCTCTCCTCGAGGCTTGAGGCCGAGCTGCTCTTTGATGGCAGCACGACACCTGGACCAGAACACAATGGGTTACCTTCAGTGGCGCTGCGGGCTCAACAGTGCCATGACTACCAGCCTGGTCCGAGACACAAAGAGCAGCCACTTCACTTTAGCTCTGCAGGTAAACAGAGGTGCAAATAAAAGTGCAAACAAAGTTGACACAGCTGATCCATCATGGTATTTATTTATTTTTCATTTCACATTATATTCTGATCATGTGTCTTTTAGCTGGGTGTGCCTCACTCCTACCTGATGATGAGCTACCAGTACAAGTTTCAGGATGAAGACCAGACCAAAGTGAAAGGCTCCCTCAAGTATGTCTGTTGCCTGAAAATTCAATTTCAGTTTTCAATTTAGTTTATTTATATAGCGCCAAATCACAACAAAGTTGTCTCAGGGCACTTGACAGAAACATTCACATACATAAAAGCCAATTATTATTATTTTTTTCATTTAGCCTTTATTTATCCAGGTAGTCTCATTGAGCCATGAGAACTCATTTTCAAGAGAGACCTGTTTAGGGAGCAGATGTGGGATTAAGGGCCTTGATCAGGGGCCCAGAGTGGGGCGAATGAGGGTGGGGGCAAGTGTGGGTGCTTCACCTCCCCCACCGACAATTTTGATGTTGTCGGGGCGTGAACCGGCGATCTTCGGATCACGGGCCCACCTCTCTAACATCTGCGCCACCAGTAAAGTTCTCTATCTAAATGTTACTAATTCATTGAATCAAATTGTTTTTGCTGAACAAAATAGTTTCTGTGTGAAAATGTTTAACTGCTGAAGTAATTCATCATGTTTTAATGCCTGTTGTACATGATATGTCAAGAACAATGTGTCATTTATATACAGCACATGAGCATCATGGTCAAATGTGGAAATTGAGTTGCTGCAGTTGCATTAGAGCTGATATTTTATTAGAAATTATTTTAAAAAATGTACTCAGGTCTTTTACTAATTGTGCATTCAGTGACAGACTTTGAACGTCTGCACATCTCCCACATGCTCATGAATGTAAAGAACCCCACAAGCAGAGCAGATGATGCCCTGTAGGGAGTGGTACCTGCTCAGCTTGTAGCTCTGACCAATCAGGGCAGGCTTGGCTTTTTGCAAGAGAGTGCGGTCGCATTAGTTCCCTCTTGTGTAATTACAGAAAAGCAAAAAGCACCTCAGACCATTTCATTGGAAATCCAAAGAGCGTCTGAAGCACGAGATGAAAAGGCTCCCGCTGTTAGTCTGACTCAACAGTGCACACTGATGGTTGTAAGCAGGTCGTCCAGCTGCTGCTTCTCTTCCTCCTTTACTTCCTGCATAATGAAGATTTTAAAATCTCACATTTTCTCAGAAATACAAACATCTGAGTTGTAGAATATAAACTGCAAAAGCAATATTCTTGTTTAGTTTTCTATTATCTTCCTATTTACCCACGTTCTGAATACAGTTTTGCTGTACCTTGAGTTTACAGCAAACAGCTGTGATTGATTCACTCGCTTAAAATTTTAACTTCCCATCAGGCTGTTATTTTCTGCACAACTTTTCTTATACAATTAATGTTGTGTATAAGTGATTAAACATGCAACACGCCTACTGACAGCTTCAAGTCCTCTGATTCATTTGATGCTTTTTAATCAATTACACAGACAAACTGTGTTCAGAGGCAGTTTACCTACTAGGGGTGTCGAACTGAGTTACCAACAGGAGACAACATTTAAAAACTTCGTCCGAGCCACAGGCCACTTTCAGCTGATGCATTAAGTCGAGTCAGACAGCTGATATCGTTTCTTGGTTGCAGATTCATGAACAATAGTTTGATCAGTCTCACTTGACGTTCTGTTGCTTTTCCCACATCAGAATCGATAATGACAGAATGATCCAACCTTCTGTCTGGCTTCAAAGTTAGCCAGCTGGCAAGAGAAGTCTACACTAAATGTATTTATCAAGAGTTTTAAAGAAAAAATGAGAAGATATACAATATTTCCAACAAAACCCTGCATAAATTAAGATTTAACTATTGTTTACTGGTCAAAGCAACGTAGATATGGGTAAAAAAAAAAAAAAAAAAACCAACACCCAGCCTTATTAAAAATAAATGTCAAATGTTAGCTGAAGCCATTTGTATCTCTTTTCTATTATACAGTATTTCCCAAATGTTTTTTGAGATTGTGAGCCCGTAAAGGTTAAGGAGATGTGAAAAGTGATAGAAAGCTGTGGAAATCTGAGCTGGTATTTGCAGTTGATGTTCTGGGGCTGTGGTAGCCAGGTGGTTTGAGCACAGGTTGCATCAGGAAAGGGTGTCCAGCAGAAAACAATTGCCAAATCATCCGGTGCGAGTTTACATGCTGTGGAAGACCCCTGCTGAAGGGAGCAGCCGAAAAATAAAGAATGGAAAAAATAGTTCATGTTGCACAAGTTTTAAACTTCAATTCCAATTTATTACAACTCCTGTTATATCCTCAAAAAATGTATTAATATTCTCCTCTGTGTGGAAAACACATGAAAGGGATTAGTCTGTCTGTGTTCATAAACACTCTGTAGCTTTGAAACCCTGAACACCCCCCCCCCCCCCCCAATGAGTCCTAAATTAGGCCCAGCTCATTCAGAATACGCTGCCGTCTTTCAGCCAAAGACGGAAACATCTGGACTGGTGAGTTGTTCACAATGGACGTAGCTTTAGAAAAAAAAAAGAGAACCTGATTATTTTGTGCCATGTTCATAGGACTAGCACTTGGTAAAACTTCTGAATGTGGTCTGCTTGTCTGCTATTGTTTTCTAAACGCAGATGTTTCCAAAAAATAATTTGTTGAAAGCATCTGTTACTCAGCCCCAGAGTATTTCTGCATATTTATGAGCAAAACAAAACTAGAGCATTAGCTTTCAAGATGGACCAAAATAAAGCATTTACTCCATGTGGCCTTTGAACAGCTCTTGGTTTCTTTCAGAAATACCGTGGAATGGTGTTCAGGGAAAATATTTACTCTTGAAGAAATACAAAAAGTGATCTTAATAATAGCTATCTAATATTATGTTTGTTGCAAAGTGAGAGTGCTCGTCTTCCAGAGCAGCTGAAATGTTTTGGGGAATTTCAAAAATTTAAAATCTAGTATAATGTAGGGGAGTGGTGGTGCAGAGGTTTAAGAAGGTGGGCCTGTGATCGGAAGATCGCCGGTTCAAGCCCCGGTACCGACAACATCAAAATTGTGGGTGCGGCAGGTGAAGTACTACCCACACCTGCCTCCACCCTCATTCGTCCCACTCTGAGCCCTTGAGCAAGGCCCTTAACCCCCACCATCTGCTCCTCCGGGTGCCCTAGACAGCAGCTCTCTGCTCCACACAGAGGGCTGTGGTAGCTCGGTGGTCTGTGGTTGCGTCAGGAAGAACATCCGGCGTAGTCTTCATGCGACTTAATTCGCTGTGGCGACCCCTAACGCGGGGAGCAGCCGAAAGAAGAAGAAGAAGAAAAAAAATCTAGTATAATATGGTAAATGAACTGTACTTGTATATCGTCTTTCTATCTTATCAAGATACTCAAAGCACTTTACACTACAATCTGTGCCTCATTACCCATCACTCTACTAGATCTATACAAAGACTGTGCTTTATCACATTCATACACTGATGGGACACACATCAGAGGCAATGTGGGGTTCATTGTCTTGCCCAGGGACACTTCATTATGTGACTGCTGGTGGAATCGAACTCCCAACTCTTGCATTGGAGGACGACTGCTCTAACCACTCAGCCACAGTCACCCCGTACATACAGCCATATGTACTTTGCCAACAAAGTTCAGTCGGGTTATCTGGACATTTTTTTTAGACAATTCGTCCTTCATCCAAAGGACTTCATCAATCAATGTCGTCAACAACAACAACAACAACAACAACAAAAAAGAAAAGAAAAAGGAAACTGTCCCGATGACCTGACTGAACTAAGTTGAATTTTTTTACCTGGATTATTGAGCATGAACTTTGCTGTTTTGAACCACTTTGGCCTTGGCTGCTTCAGAGTCATTGACGGGGGAGAGGGTGTCTACTATGGGAATGTGCTACTTGTGGGACTGAGTTTTGTTTGTGGCTCCTCGGACTGATGAAGTCCTTTGGATGAAGGACGAAATGTCTCGACAAAAAAAGAAACCGTTCAGATGACCTTACTGAGCTTTATTGAATTTTTTACCTGGATTATTGAGCATGAACTTTGATCTAGTACAATATGGTTATACTGTAATTCAGATGATTTAGAATCACGTGAAAAAACAAAACCATGTATTATAATACAATAGACAGTTGCTTTAGAACAACCTCAGATTATGTTGGCTTTTCCAGAAGACTTCTTTGCTGCAACTAGATCCCTATTCATTCATTTGCTGCCATTGTCTTCTCTTGCCTGCAATCTATTGTTATACCACTAGAAAGCGTTGTGTCACACACAAGTGTAGCTACTTCTGCACAAATTAGTCACCAGAACATAATTTTGAAGGTATTCAGCATTCACTGGAAGCTTTTTGTTTTGAAGCTCACAGACTATATAATACCATGTTTGAAACGCTTGACATGAATCATCAAGTTTTTGTGTAAACCGTTTGTTTTGTCAACCTGTGACTCAACAAACGTCTCTGACTGAGAGTTAATGCACATTTTCTTATTCTGTTTGCAACTTCAGTACCTTGTCTTTTTTAATTAAACAGATCTCTATTTACGTCAGAGTTTTTGTCTTTACAGGACCGGCTGGTTTGGCACCGTGGTCGAATATGGTGCAGAGAGGAAGATCAGCCGACACAGTGTTCTGTCAGCCACCGTCAGCGTCGGTGTCCCGCAGGGAGTCACTCTCAAGATCAAGTACAGGCCACTCCTAAGACATAATGCCACTCCTCTGTGTCCTTGTTGCTCTGAGTGGTTGTCAACCGTGTGCATTTACATTTTGTTGGCGTGTTGTCCTCGTTTTTGGTGCAGGTTGGCTCGTGCTAGTCAGACTTACCTGTTTCCCGTCCACCTGACAGATCAGCTGCTGCCCAGTGCTGTTTTCTATGCCACAGTGGGACCCCTTCTAGTCTACATGGCCATCAACAGACTGATCATAATCCCATACACAAAAGCTCAAAAGGAGCAGTGAGTAAACCTCCTCTGTTTCAACCAACGCCTCACTTTGGTCCAGAAACAATTGGCTTCATTATTTGTAAACTTCATTTAATAGTGATTGTGACTCTTTAATCACGGTTTTGTTTTTCCCTTACATAATTTTCTAAAAACAACCTTGTCCAAATCCCTGACGTGGATAAACATTTAGCATCTCCGAGTGTGTCGAGGGGTTTCTTTCATGCTTATGCTGTCATCAGCGAAAGCCTCCACAGTGAGTCCCAGTGGGTGGCTGTTGATGTCTGCTTTGTGTGTGTCTCCGTGCCTCTCAGAGAGCTTGAACTGCAGAGGAAAAGCTCCGCCACAGACATCGCCAAGAAGAAGCAGGAGGCCGAGTCCGCCGTAAGGACCTGAGCGCAGAAATGCTCTTTTTCCCCCTTCTCTTCATTGTGTGTGGGACATAATTGATCACTGTTCATAAGTTCAGCTCCCCTCATTATGAACTCCTGACTGAATCTCATCCATCCCATAATATTCTCCTCTCCCTCCTCGCTTCCTCCCCTTTTTCTCTCCCGGCGCCTCCACAGGTTCTGCTGATGCAGGAGTCTGTGAGGAGAATCATAGAAGCAGAAGAATCCAGAATGGGTGCGAGTGCACACGCACGCACGCACGCACGCACGCACACACATACACACACATACATACATTATATCAGGGTGAGAAATAAAAGCTTTTTCAGTTTGGAGCCAGTCCAGACTTGGTGAAAATCCAAAACTGTAATTCAGATACATTTTTCATTGTTGCTGTCAACACTGCTTAATATTCTGTGTCTTAAAATCCTGTTTGTCCGCCTGCTGTGACCTGCTGCTGTGACGCAAGAATGGGTTAAATATTAGACTGCACACTGGCTTGGAGTAAAAAAAAAAAAAAACATTTAAATGTCCTACTTAATTTCGTTTTCAGTACATGTTTATAATTATTCAAAGTTCTAAATGCTGCACGAGTTTAGTTTCATCACTTCAGTTAAACAAGTTGAGATAATATAATTGGTCCATTGTTACATAAGAAAGTTAAAAGGTCATAGTACCACAGTGACTTCAGTATATGTGTTTACACATATAAGTATATAAAGCGTGACCTTTTATTACAATATATGCAATCAAATGAAACCAAAACATTTACATTTAAATGAGTTGATTGTTTTGAGACAAAAACCTGCTGCGCTCAGCTAAAAAACTGTACCGCTTTCTGTAAGACGTGGTGGTGACTGTATCATGGTTTGGGATTATGCTGTTGCCAGCCTTGCAAACCAAAGAATGTAAAACAAAAAATAAACTCAAACTCAATAAAAATAAACTCAAACCAAATCAAACTCTCAAAGACCGTCATATCAAGTTGAACTGAAGGCAAATGCATTTCTATTTTGATTCCAAGAGATGTTTTCCTTCTTGTTTGAGGAGCTTTGTCTAAACAGACAGTTGCAGAGGGCAGCACGGTGGCGCAGTTGGTAGAGCCGCTGTTTCTCAGCGAGCAGGTTGCCCCAGTTCAAATCCCGATCCGGGGAACCTTTCTGGGTGGAGTTTGCATGTTCTCTCCGTGCATGTGTGGATTTTCTCCAGGTACTCCAGTTTCCTCCCACAGATCAAAAACATGCATGTTAGGCTGATTGGTAACTCTAAATTGTCCCTAGGTGTGAGTGAGAGAGTGAATGGTTGTTTGGCCCTGTGATAGACTGGAGACCTGTCCAGGGTGTACCCCGCCCCTCACACAGAGACTGCTGGACATGGGTGTAGAGATATATGTAGTTAAAGAGGTCTGGTCACCTTGTTAACAGGTGTGCAATTAAAATAAATGTGGGTCCACCTCAATCAAAAGATTAATGTGAGCTCTTTGCAATGTTGTGATTCCCCTCACTCAAATAAAGACACACAAATCTGGTCAGTTAAAATCACAATTCTTTTAACGTTTTTTTCAGTTTGTATAATGGCAATATGGCAAATATATGAAATATGAATGAATAACCAATAATATAATTTCAGTAGGTGAATTATATAAATAGCTTTAACCTTATGAAGAGAAGTTGTCTAAAATTTAGGACTAAAGTTTAGAATTTAGGTAAACTTTATCTCAGATTCGTGAACTAAATTATGTCTATGAAACCTCGTTGGCACTGAGACATTCCTTTCCATCAGAAGAAAGATGTTTTATCCTACTGGGAGACATGCATCATCTCATTACCCATTATTCAAGGATTCAAGGATTTTTTATTGTCATACCAGCTCACATTTGCATGTTCGTGGTACGAAATTCAGACTCAGGTCCAAGATCAAGACACCTAACAATTAATAAATAAATAAGAGTGCAACCACACACACACACACACACACACACACATATATATATATATATATATATATGTATATAATAAAGTTTTAAAAAATGTAAGATGAAGCTGAATTAATTTAAGTGCAGCTCGAGTTCAGCAGTCTGACAGCTGCAAGGAAGAAACTGTTTCTGAGTCTGGTGGTCTTGCCCTGAATGCTCCTCAGCCACCTGCTTGAGGGGAGGAGCTGGAACAGACTGTGTGCAGGATGAGTGGAGTCCTTCATGATGCGGCGCGTCCTCCCCCTGCATCAGGATGTGTAGAGGTCTGAGGCGGTGGGAAGGCTGCTCCCCACAGTCTTCTGTGCAGCCTGAACCACCTTCTACAGAGCCATCCTCTCAGCAGCAGTGCAGCTGCCTTGCCACATGGTTTTGCAGGTGCAGAGAATGCTCTCCACCACACAGCAATAGAAGCTCCTCAGGACAGAGCTCTCAAGTCCAGCTCTCTTCAGCTTCATGAAGAAGTAGAGATGCTGGTGGGCCTTCTTGACCAGACAGGAAGTGTTGGCTCTCCAGGTGAGGTCACTGGATATATGCACCCCCAGGTACCTGTAGCAGGAGACCACCTCCACAGCTGCTCCTCCGACGTGTAGGGGATGAAAAGGATCCTTGTCTCTTCTGAAATCCACCTTCTTCACATTGATGCAGAGATTATTGTCTCTGCACCACTGCACTAGGTGTTCCACCTCCTCTCTGTATTTGGACTCATCATTGTTCGGGATGCGTCCCACTACTGCTGTGTCATCCACAAACTTCATTATATGGCAGCTGTGGTGTCTAGCCAAGCAGTCATATGTCAGCAGAGTGAACAGGATGGGGCTCAGCATGCAGTCCTGGGGTGAGCCAGTGCTTGGCGTGATGGATGAGGAGACAATGCTGTGGATCCTGACAGTCTGAGGTCTGTTGGTCAGGAAGTCCAGAATCCAGTTCCCCAGTGTGGGACTCAGTCCAAGAAAGGAAAGCTTCTGCACCAGGGTCTGTGGGATGATGGTGTTGAAGGCTGAGGAGAAATCCAGAAAGAGCAGACGGATGTAAGAATTTCGGTTCTTCAGGTAGGTGAGGGCTGTGTGGACCAACGATGAAATGGCATCAGCAGTGGAGCAGTTCCTTCTGTAGGCATACTGATATAGGTCCACAGTGACGTCGATGGAGTCCTTGATGTGGGCCATGACCATCCTCTCAAAGCACATCATGACTACCAATGTTAAGGCCATAGGTTGGTAGTCATTCAGGCCTGTCACTGTGGAGCACTTGGGGACAGGGACAATAGTGGCGGACTTAAAGCAAGTGGGGACAACTGCCATTGACAGTGAGGCTTTGAAGATGTCCGCCAACACCTCAGACAGCTGGTATGTGCAGTCCTTAAGTACCTGGCCTGAGATGTTGTTGGGGCCTGCAGCCTTATGAGGGTTGATTCCCTGGAGGGTCTTCCTCACATCTGCTGTGGTCACACAGAGGGTAATGTCACCGGGGCGTGTCACCGGGTGGTGGTATAAGTCTAATGCTGGGAGGGGGATGTTAGGATTCTCAAAGTGAGCATAGAACTTATTGAGTTCATCTGGTAATGAGGGGTCCTTTGGGCATTGTGCATCCCTGATGTTGTAGTTCGTAATGCACTTGATGCCCTTCCGCATTCGTGGGGGGTCGTTGATAATGAAGTGATCCTGAATTTTCTGGGCGTATATGGCTTTGGCCCTTGCAATGCCTGCAGTCAATCTTTTCCTCACCTCTCGGAGTGCTGACCTGTGCTCACCTGTCCTGAACGCCGCATTCCTAGCTTTTAGCAGAGCTCTCACCTCAGCATTCAGCCAGGGTTTCTGATTCAGATAACAGGTTACTGTCCTGGTGGTGGTGACATCATTAGCGCACTTGGAGATGAAGCCAAGAACAGAGGAGGTGTATTCCTCCAGGTCCACCTGTCCCTCATATGTAGCCGCCTCTCTGAAGACATGCCAGTCTGTGCACTGAAAACAGCCCTGGAGCATAGAGTCTACATCCCTGGGCCACACAGTGACTGTCTTCTTTGTTGGCCTAATCCGTCTCATCAGCGGACAATATGCTGGTGCCAGCAGGATTGAGATGTGGTCGGAGAAGCCAAGATGGGGGCGAGGAAGAGCTTTGTACGCACCGTAAATGTTCATGTACTCACAGTCCAGAGTGTTGTTTCCCTGCTTAGGAAAAGTGACATGCTGGTAAAAACTGGGCAGAATGTCCATCAGTTTCACGTGGTTAAAGTCCCCCGCAGCCACGTAAAACGCCTCTGGGTGCTTTATCTCCAGCTCTTTTGATGCTTCGTTAACATTAGCACCCGGCGGGATGTAAACAATGGTGATGAACACTGCAGTAAACTCCCGTGGCAGATAGTACAGCTGACATTTCACAGTAATAAGTTCTATCGCCTCAGAGCAGTAGCTTTTTACCACTCCACAGTTCATACACCAATCTTCATTCACAAACACACAGAGTCCTCTCCCCATGTTTAACCGATTGATGGTCATGGTCCGCTCGGAATAACTGAAGACCATTGATCTGGAAAGCTGAGTCCAGCATGATGTTGTTCAGCCAGGTTTCCGTTAGGCAAAGAACAGCACAGTTCTTCATCTCTGTAGAAACACTCATCCTCAGATGTAACAAGTCCATTTTGTTATCCAATGAGCGTTGGCCAGAAAGAGAGTAGGTCTGTGGCCTTCTAGCCTTTAGCTGGGCCAACGCGCCCACCCGCTTCCCCCTCCTGTTTCTGGGCACATCGTTTCTTCTTGACCGTTGCTCCTCGCACTTTGCTGCGCCATTCCGTTGTTCTCCAGGGTCTCTGTCTGCAGAGTAAAGATTTCAGCCTTGGTGATATATTAATAACCGAACTGTCTCTGATGGCCATCAGTTCGGTTGAGCTGTACTTGAGCCTTGAATTTAGCATTGAACTAGTGCCTAAAACAGCCTCATAGGAATTTAAAAAAAAATTAAATGAAGCTTAATCCCAGGAGCATGAGAAGCCACTGCACTTCTGTGCGTCGCCATAGCACCCGCCATAGCATCTGCCATAGCATCTGCCATATTATATCATATCATATGGATGTGATATGAAAGCCGGATGTTCATGCTGTCACTGGAGGGTTGTTTTCCTCCCGGGCCACATCTGATCCAGCCGTGCGTGCATCACTCCCGGGTGTTTGAGGGAGTTCTGTGGACTTTCTCATTTCAGCTGACTGGGCAGTGGGCACCATCTGAGGTGGAACTGGAGCAACAGAACACGGCTGGTTCCTTGGGCTGGCACGGAGCCCATGCTCCTTCAACTCACGTGCCGCACTTCTGCCAACTTGGACAACTTCTCCCAACTCTCCTTCAGTGTCAGCATTACCCGACACCATGAAGGGACCGTGCCTCTCGAATTAACAAACCACTGCAGCGTTACCGACAGTGGGTGTGAACCAAAAGCTGCATAAATTAATTTTAATTATAACTCCTCTTCTCAAAGTCTGTAGAGCAAAAACACAATGGCTTTGCTTATATAACAACACTTTGTTTTTAGACGAACACCATTTCCTTCACAAATGCAAGTTTGGATCCTGACAAAATACATGCTCACAACAGGTGGTCTGTTTGAAGCTCTGTGCATCTGGTGGGCAACTTCCTGGTTGTCATGGCAACCCAAGTTCTGGGAGTATGGAAAAGTTTGATCCTTTGTTAGAAATTTCTCTTGGAGACGCAAGTCTGTCTCTTCCCAGGAAAGCAGGTTGATTATCCACTGGGGGTATAATTAACACAGTCGGTATGTCAGGGTGGTCAGGCTGTGCTGACTCCCAGATTTGCAGATTAGTGCACAGAAAGGGGGTGAAAAGACAGTTCCTGTTCTTGAGGACAAAAATGTCTTCTGAAGGACGTTGGTTGGATGCTACATGGGCACCAGTGACCCCTGCGACCCGAAAAGGAAGAAGCAGGTAAAGATAATGGATGGAAAGTTGCAGGGTCGAGCTGTTTATTTGGTAAATAGTTAAACTCGCATGCAGATTGCTCCTCCATCCAGTCTCCCTGAGGGTCATTAGGGTCTTTGTAATCCTGGTCAGCATATTTTGGTCACATTCATAAATATGCCAATAGGTGCAAAACTGTCTGGAGACTGAACTCCGATCTGCAATGTATGCGATGGAAAAGTGAAACCTGAGACTACCACCTCTATTCAAAGTTGGCCTTTTCCCACTATACACTTTTCCCAGTTTATGTTCTTTAACTCCTTGCACCATTTATCCTCTTGGTGAATATGAACATTTCTGTTTACAAATGAGTGCCCTTTATTCCTTGAACTGTAGGTGGACCTAGTAGTCTTAAACTGGTTCTCGTGTGTGTCTGTGTAGTTGCTGTTTAGTTTCCTTTATGTAAAGGTCAGAACACAACTCACTGTGCTGGATTGCACACACACTACTTGGCTTCTGTCTGGGTGTTCTGTCCATCAGATGAACCAGTTTTTTGTCAGAAGGTGTTACCTTTGAATTTTACTGGGATAGAAAAAAAAAGAGTTTTAGTTTTTTATATTTCATATGTATTCTTAGTAATTAAACATCCTAGAGCAAATGGTCAAACATTATGGTGTATAACCACACTTATATAAAGTCTTACAAAGCGTTGAACTTCCTGTAAATCCCTACCTAGGTCTGATCATCCTGAATGCCTGGTATGGAACGTTCGTGTCTGACACCAGCCAGAAGCAGGACAAAGCCAAGGTGATTGACGTCACGGTGCCACTGCAGTGCCTGGTCAAAGACTCCAAACTCATCCTCACTGAAGCATCCAAGGTGTGTGTTTCACCGGTTCACCCTGCCTGTCATAAATCTCTAAATATACATGATACCAGCTCATGTGAACAATATCTCTGCGATCAGGCAGGGTTGCCAGGCTTTTATGACCCCTGTGTCGGAGAGGAAAAGAGTCTGAAACTATTGTACCAGTTCAGAGGCGTCATGCATCAAGTCATTTCTGCAGACACTGAGCCGCTACGGATACCTAAGCAAAGTTAGTATGCAGCTTCTTCAGCTGTGACTCATGGAACTGCATGCTAATTACATCACTGAAACTCACTGATAAGTTGAAACTGTACCCTTTTCTTTGTCTTGTCAGCTCACAGAATCGAGTCTGAGTCCTAGGAGCCTGTTGTTGTTGTACAAGAAAGGAAGACAAAACGGACTGTCTGCACACAAAAAGCCCGGGACTGACCGGGACAGATCAACACTAAGTTTGTTTCTCCTGCAGCTCTCCTCTATCATTGTATTAGTGAATCTGTTTTACAAGTCTACCCACTCCTTTCTTTTCCTGAAGGCCACCCACTCCTTTCTTTTCCTGAAGGCCACCCACTCCTTTCTTTTCCTGAAGGCCAGTTCTCAGGTCCAGCTGCTCAGCTCCGAGGTTTCCTTGCTGTTTTCTCCTGACAGACCTGCTTACATATCTTTCTGCTGCAGGAGATCGGCACTGGTCCAGAACTCAGTTTTCTGTCTGTAGGACACGGAGAGGCTGATTCTTTCTGCAGACGGCTGCTTTACCCTCAGCCATGAGCTAAATGTGGACAATTCTTGACATTCGTTTAATCAAGGAGCTGTATTTTTACTCTAGTTAAAAATAACCTTCGTCTGTTATGTGTATCACCCTGATAGGTTAGATTAGTTAGCAACATTAAAGTGACAGTTCTGCTTGCTTGAAGTGGGCTTCTGTGGAAAGGTTACAAACAATCAATACCCTATTGATATATACTGTAAGAGCAAAGTGGATTGTTATGGCCTTAACTTAAATCTAAAAAAATCACATATCTCTACATAAAACATTATTTTATTAACCACTTACTTTAGCATTACCTTAATTTCCGGTCTATAAGCTGCTAATTTCTTTACATGCTATGAACACCACGGCTTATACAATGCTGTCGCTTATTTATGGATTATTTTTATTTTTATGGGCTAACAAACTTCCTGCTGCCAAAACATTTAGCCTCAGCACATCTGGGCGCTCACATAGCTGTCCAATAAACGTCTTTCTTGGGGGGTGGTTCCTCATGGCTCACTGAGACTACCTGTATAAAAAAATGTTAAAAAAATTCTGACCAATGAAATTATTGAACAGGTCACAATGGACCAATAAAACTTGGTTTCATTGGTCCACTGGGGAGGGGAGAAACAAAGTCTCTCCTCCCTGTTGTGCCCCCGGGTGGCACAATGAAGTATTTGCAGCCACTCGAAATAAGTGCAAGTCGTGCATTTAAAATGGCACGCTGAGCTCGGTGGGAGGCTTGGATGACTAGCGACGAGAAATCGTTTACCAAAACAGCTTGTGCTGTCCTCCATTCTCCTTCCTCCTGCGCAGGAGGAAGATGGAGATCAATGACTTCCTGGTAGGCTACTGTATTTTTCTTTAACCAGCTGTGTTACAGGCACTGTTCAGAAAAAAACATCTATGGTGCATATTTGTGTATGTTATTGGTATGTATTTAATTAAAAGTTAAAAAAAAATCTTATTTTGTAAATATTTCATGTTACAACATGGACACTGCGGCTTATAGACAAGCGCGACCTATATATGTACAATTTTTTTTATTTAGTGGGTGCGGCTTATATTCAGGTGCGATCAATAGTCCGGAAGTTACGATAATTTTTATTACGTGTATTTTCAGTCAGAAATATGGTAATATTCCTTTCAGAAGGTGCCCAGACTACGTGATGGCAAATAATCACAGAATTCACTGTAGATAATCATGTGATGTGAAGAAAACCGTGTAAAGTTTTATAAGTTAGTGCCTACGTGAACTATTATGAAACACTGAGTTGTCATCAGTCCAGTCAGAATTAACAATTTCTCCAAAGTGAGGTTGTTCAAACAGCTATCTGCAACAGGTAAGATATTAGGTGTTTATAATTTTTCCACAGAACCTACTTCCAACAATCTGAACTATCTCTTTAAACCAGGCAACGGTTCTTGGTAATACTATGCAGGCCAATGAGTCCAAAAGCCTGAAGCTAACTAGGACTGAGTTTGTTTTGTTTAACTTTAAAAAATGTCTAAATGTGACTTTTTTTTTTTGTGACATGGCTGCTGCTCTTTTTGATGCCAGCCATTTATTGTAAGTGTAAACAAATACTTAAAATTTGTTAACTGTGAAGTATTTAAAAGGAGGATTTGTATGTGGAGTAACCTTCTGATAGTTGTGATCCAACTGAACGCAGACAGGCTCAGAGATTTAGAAAGTTCAATGCACTCGAGAGGCCGAAATCCAGCTTGCATTTAATTTGAGTTGGTGTTTACTGATGTCTCATTTCTTTTGGTAACATGAAGGTTAGAATCTGGCTAATGTGGCTCTGGCACAAAGATGTCAATGCAAACATCGAGAAGGATTTTAAATGTAAAAAATGATATTAAAGTGAATGTAGTTGGCAACGAATATCAAAAACAAAACTGCTTCATGAAGCCTCGCTGCAGTGTAGTTTCAGTAAAACTTAGTTTATTCTTATATTATGTTACACATAGCAGAATCCCAGAGGGATTTTATTGCTGTCTTTTAGTGGTTACTTCACACGCTGTTTGACCTCTGCTTGAACGACTTCCTCAGCAGAACAGTATACGCAAAACGCTAAACTGCTGATGAGCAATCAAGTGTGGTAGCACTTAAAGATTTTAATTTCAGCAGCACAGTAAAGCTCTCATTTAGGCCTATTTAATTAGATTTTACTCCCTATCTGATTGGTCCATCTGTCGGCAGATGGATTGTGCAATAACAAAGAGATAGTTTCCTTTTAAGTTTTTTTTTGGGAAGAACTGTGTAATGAACTGCGGGGAACCCTTAACGTTATTAGGAGCACTAAAGTAGGTTATAAGCTCAATTTTATAACTTGTAAAGGTTATATTTTGCACTAAATGTTATGTATATCAGACATATGAGGCTACTTATTAAAATGGTGCTGATCACTTTAATTGTTGCCGTTTGCTTGTAGTAGAATGAAAAAGAGGGAGGATGTTGTGTTGGAGTCACTACTGCAGCAGCCATTTTGCACTTTCTTTAGTATTTGTCTTGTATTTGTGAAGTGTTTGGTCAAATCATCTGGTTCCTTCTGCCACCATGAGGCGGAGCGTCTTCTCCCTGGTTTTACATTCCAAACTGACTCATTTAATATTGTACGACTTAAAAAAGAGCCTCCGCTCTGCCTTGTAAAGATAATAAATGTGGACTAAGAACAGACGCATCATTTGATTATTGCTCGCCGCCTCAAAGACGGGACGATGATGTTTTTACCATGTCTGTGTTTGTCAGTTTGCAAAATGTCTTATGAACCTCTGGGTGGATTTGAATTAAACTTAATCATAGGATAAACTTCTAAAACTAAATAACTCTTGGAGTCAAGCCGATTCAAGATGGCCTTCACAGCCAGCAGCCTTTAAAAAAATGGCTGTAGTTCCATCGTTACGTTTGTGGAGCTAAAAGGTTTGGTGCGATAGTAGCCGAGAGTCCTTCACAACACATTCCAAGTGTCGCTCATTGAAAAGTCTTGAGCATTTAGAATTTCTTTCACACTTGTTTGTTAGCAAAATATCTCCTGAACCAGAACTACGGGACAGATTTGAATTGAACTTTTCGATGATGATCATCTACAGCTGATTAACTTTTGAACACCATCCAGATATTGAGCTAAATTTTGACGTGGTAGTAGCTGAGCATCCGTCATAACACACTCTTGAGTGTTTCTTACGTTATCATAAAAATTGCAAATAAGTTTTTTTTTAAGGTTTGACCAAATCGTTTACACTCCCAGTTCTTAACATTAAGGTGACATGCACGTCTTCAAGGAATTAATTTCAAAACGGTTTTCTGTCTGCAAATGAAGTGATTAAAAAAAATCTAAATCAGGGTAAAATGGTACCTCTTTATTTACAATAGTTTACAGTAGTTTCACAGAAACAGTTTGCAACACAGCACAGACGATGCCTTCTCAGTAAGGGGATCGGACAGCCAGGACCAGAACAAACAGGCTTATCACAATGAGCACTGGTAACTTGAACCCAGTCGTATCTTAAGACGCACGCTGCAACGTTTGGATTTTGTGCCTGTAGACGTCTTCACTCTTTAAGACAAACATCCTGAGGACTTAAATAGTTTTTAATATTTTGAAACTTCATAAAAACACAACCTTGCTGATTGCTGGAACAAACTAACATTTGTAAATATCACAAGAGTGCACAAAAAGCTCAATTTTTTTTTTAACTCTAGGAAAGTCTTGTGTTTATAAACTAAAATATTCATTGTGGTTGTCGGCTGTTTCCTGGTCAGGTCCTTTGTTCTGCTTTGTAAAACCCCATTCTGGACTAAGATCTGTCTACAGTATGGCTTTTTATATAATAATCAGAAACAATAATCACTCTACACAGACAGCAGATGGCACAAGACTCGTGAAGCTTCATTTTCTTAAATCAGAATCGGAACAAAAATAACATTCCCATTAAACTCGCTTCTTATGGAAGTGAATACTGCTCTGAAAATAACACAAGATACAGAACTCTGATCCTCCGGAGATCAACGTTTAAACCAAAGAGCTCAGATGAAACGATTTGTGGCACCACATGTGCCTCCAACACTCTCACATGCATATTTTCACCTGGACTCTTAGGAAAAATCTCTCTTCCAGACACAACTCCAGCTACGATCATTTCCTTTGGTTATTATTTAAACCACCCCGTACAGAAATATATTTGTCTATGAACATTGTGTCGTCACATCGAGTCTGTTAATGATGGGGAATTAAAAATATTTATGAACAAAACTGCCCAATACTATCATGAAATGCAGCAAGGTTATATTGAACCGAAGAAAGTGAAAATACAGTTTTACCTGATTCTTCTAAGTTTCTTGTTTTTTATGTTTGATTATAGTTTCTTGGAAAAAGAAAGAACCATGAACACTGTTAGAACACTGAAAAACAGGTGAAAGCTGCAGTCGACTAACATCTGGATGGTGAGGCTGGAAGACAAGATTGTAAAGTGGAGGGGAAGTGAACAAGTGATTGGTTCAGATGAATGGGACTCAGAACCACAATGATATTCTTTCACGTTTTAAATAACATAAAAGAACAGATGAAGCAAATGCAGACTTTAGCCTTTTATCCTACATCTTTGTTCTACTGGATTATACCTCAGCTTAATACGATAGCACCATCTGAAGCGATAAACACAAGGCTTTATCTTGTTTACTTATTTTAAACAGCTAGTTATGTAACATTTATAGAGGCATCCTACAGGAAACGTATCCAGTTCGATCAGAATAGATTTACATGTTTCTGTGACAAAAAGTCATATATATGTAAAATAAAAATAAAAACGTGAGAAAAAAGTGCAAACCATCTTTCCCATCAATCCCAGCATGCACCATTAGTGGGTGGCAGTGAGGGTTTTCTCTACATATGGCAGTTCAAATGTTTCCAGTGTAGCAAATCTCTTAACAGTAGCAGTCTGCTGCTTTCCATGTCATTACAGACAAATACCCCTTCAGTGATTGCCTTACGCACAAAGTCTATAGGAAACAGAAACAAACCCTAGTACATCTAAAACAGCACTCAAACCGTTTCCAAACGAGATAAAGGTTTGGGTCAGGTCCACCAAAGTGTTTTTAGAAAACGTGGGTTCATGGCTGACCATGAAAAACGGAGACTTAAGGGTCCTGAATTTAAGGAGGGGTCGGTCTAACAGGTGGAGGATGAACAGATGCAACGGGAGGAGGGTTAAAAGTTTGTGGTTCCACCCAGAAGTCAGTCTAGCAGGTGTTTGCGTGAGCCTACACGCGAGCGGTGGGACCGACGGGCATCCGGGGGTCCGTGAATGTCCCGGCAGCTTTGGCACACGTATGTCTCTGGCACATGGCTCTTGCGGATCTTGGCACACGACAGGTGGATCCAGGTGTTGCACTTGTTACATTCAATCATGGCTCGGCCCGCGAAAGGCTTCATGCAGAAACACGTCACCAGGTCCCACGAGTCGTCATCTGAGGAGACAGGTTACAGTCGGGCGTTGCTTTAAATGGCAAACATTTTGTTTTCAGCGTGTTGTGGCACAGAAAGAGCTTACCTGAGTCTACCATTATGTCTTCATCTTCTCCAGATCCGTCTTCGTCTCTGAACACCACTTGTTTCCCCTGGCGAAACACGGTTCGGCTTCCTGAAAAGCCCTCCACTTTCTGAACCTTTATGACACCTTCTTCGAGGTCTCGACCATCCCAGTGTCTGCTCTCCTCCCTGGCTTCCTCCTTTGGCTCCTCCTTGCATGGAGAAGGGCTGGGCAGGCACTGGGGGTGGAGGGGAATGCTGAGATCATCTTCAGGCTCTTCTTTGATCATCCGGATGCCCAAGGAAAGTGGAGACTCCACCTCTGGTTCTTCCGAGTCGCTCTGCTGTGGCCTGTTTTCCTCACCAGTCTGATGCTCCTTTTCCTTTCTCCTCTTCTTCTTCTTCAGCTTCTCGGCTTTCCTGTGGTCATCTGGATGCAGACTTGTGATTGTGAGCTGCAGAGCAAACAAGGTGCGAATATCAAAACGACAACGAAGGTTAATCTCATTTCTGTGCACATAGCATGCATTTAATTATACGGTCTCAGTTCAGCTTACTTCTCTTTTGGGGAGAGTGGACAGCATGGGTCCAGGTTGTGGACGTTTCCTGCTTCTGTCTTGAGGGATCTTTGTTGGACGCGTGGGGCAGGAGGTTGGGGGTCCTGGGGTCCAGCCATCACTGTCAGCGGTGCTGCCTGTGCTGTTGGGTGGACTGGAGCTGCTGCGCAGTGGAGAGTCCTGGATATGTACATGAAGGTGCAGAAAACAGTGAGGCTCTCCTGTCCCAGTTGGAAGTTAGAAAGCAAACAGAGCTATCAAAGGTGTGGGTAACTTTCCTGGAACAACATACAACCTGGAGTGTCTGTGCCCAAAAACAGAGACAAGGTGGGATTTTATGTTTTAAGCCGAGAGACAGAATGTTTCTAACAAAAACTACTAGAAATATTTTCAGCCACGTTGAGTGTACAACATGTTAATAAGCATAAAGACGAATGTGTAAAAAATATTAATTTGATCAAGACTTAAGGAGCAAAAACAGCTGGTAAAGTGGTTATAAAAACTAGAGATGGATCAGTTTTTTAGCTGATCAATTTTAACATTAATATGTCAGGCCTGCAGCACGGTGGCACAACTGGTAGAGCTGCTGCCTCTCAGCGAGCAGGTCCTTGGTTCAAACCCCGGTCCAGGGGCCTTCTGGGTGGAGTTTGCATGTTCTCTCCGTGCATGCGTGGGTTTTCTCCGGGTACTCTGGTTTCCTCCCACAGACCAAAAACATGCATGTTAGGTTGGTTGGTAACTCTAAATTGTCCCTAGGTGTGAATGAGAGAGTGAATGGTTGTTTGTCTCGTTTGTCTCCATGTGTCCCTGTGATGGACTTGCAACCCGTCCAGGGTGTACCCCGCCCCTCACACAGTGAATGCTGGACATGGGCACCGGTGACCCCCGTGACCCAAAATGGAATAAGCGGGTAAAGATAATAGATGCATGTCAGGCCTGTGCATACTCCATTACCAAGTAGGAAAAGGAAGAAGCAGCAGCAGCAGCTGCAACAACCAACTGTAATTGTAGGCCACAATTAGGTTTTTGAAAGTGATTTTATTTAATTGTACGTTATTTTAAACATTGATAAATATGTTTATTAAAGTTAAGCATCTAGTGTTATAATTTGTAAGTTGAAAAATATATCCATCCATCATCTTTTACCCACTTCTTTCATTTTGGGTCACGGGGGTCACCGGTGCCTATGTCCAGCAATCACTGCGAGGGGCGGGGTACACCCTGGACGGGTTGCAAGTCCATCACAGGGACACATAGAGACAAACGAGACAAACAACCATTCACTCTCTCACTCACACCTAGGGACAATTTAGAGTTACCAATCAGCTGAACATACATAGTTTTAGTCTGTGGGAGGAAACCGGAGCACCCGGAGAAAACCCACGCATGCACGGAGAGAACACGAAAACTCCACCCAGAAAGGCCCCCGGACTGGGATTTGAACCTGGGACCCTCTTACTGAAAGGCAACAGCTCTACCAGTTGTGCCTAGCAAAGAACTACAGCAGAACAATTTAAAAAGTCTTTAGTTAGAAAGCCAACAGTAACGATAAATAAGGGAAGTCTGAGATTGTCATCATTGCATGTTCCCATACAATGGCAAAATCAGTTCTCTGCATTTAACCCATCACACGTGAGATACACCCAGGTGGAGCAGTGGGCAGCTATGTGAGCGCCTGGGGAGCAATTAGGGATTAGGCGTCTTGCTCAGAGACACCACGACATGTGGGAATGGCTGGGAGTTGAACCACGACTTTCTGGTCCCAGGTCGGCTGCCCTGCCTGTACCCCATCTCGGCCCTTAAATAAAAACAAACTAACTAAATATTTATAATAATAATGATATTTATAAATAGATAAAACGACTATTCAGAAATTGTCAACCCTTCAAACCAAAGTATAGAAAGAGTAAATCTGTATCCTTACTTTGATCTGTGTATAATCAGTGTTGCTCATGTAACTGTGACTGATGCTGGATTGTCATTAAGCACAAACACTGCAATACAAACATTGCGTTTAATTGTTTTTCTCTTTAAGGATGCACCTGAATATTTTCATCTTGCGGTTCGCATGTGAAAATTGAGTATGTTTACAAGGTATAACATGTAGATGCAGACGTTAGAAACGAAAATTGTAAATTGGCAAATGTTTTCAAGTAAAACGCCTGTCCGTACCTCTTGCGGGTATGGGATGTATCCGGCGTAGGCCAACACAAAAGTGCAAAACTTGTTAAAATCCTCCACCGTCCTCCTCCTCCTGTACGGCGGACTGAAGCTCTGTAAGCACAAACGTGTCGTGAATAAAAAACAAAACATGGCGAAGACGTTAACGACACACTTTCTCTGCAAAATGACACAGAGTTGGCTCGACGTCATATACGAAGATTCACCCAAAAAAATGACGACTAGCACAAAAGAAAGTTATTGTGAGGAAACACCACACGTTACAAACCACAGACGATCGGTTAGCCAGAGCGGCTAGTAGGCGTCAACAGCCAAGAAGCGACTAGCTAACGCTAAGCGGCTAGTGTCAAAATAAAACGGCTGTCAACGACACCGTTGACGCCGAACAGCAAGTACACACTACCCAATAGACTCCAAGAGATAGTAAAAGCACCACTGTATACCGACTGTTAGCTGACTATAAGAGCGAATGCGAGTGTTAGCCAGTATTTCTGTTAGCATGCTCCGTTATGGTGATGGAATGTGTCCCCGATGAAACTCGAGGGCTAGCAAACATTAGCATTGCACTAAACGCTCCTGTCTCAAGTAACAAAAACGACTGTTTACAAACTAGGACGTGATTTTTTTTTGTAACGGTGCAAAACTGCATCGCGACGTCAACACGTCCAGGAGTTTAAGCGAGTGTAGTTAACTTCTTATTACAACATTAGCTAAACATGCTAACAGCAACACGGCTCGTGTCGAGCGGTGACATCGATCGACTTGATGTCCGCTAAAGACGCTACACGACAGCAAATAAATCATAGTGAAGGAGTTATATTAAGAGTAAAAAGCACTCACCTCCGACTGAAACGCATGAGATGTCGATGGTTTTATGTCACCCATCTTAACGGAGTTCCCGACCACCTGACGTGTGGTCGATACCCCGAAAGGCTAACAGAAGCGGGCTGCTCGATGGGACCGTAAACAAACACCGCTTATGTATTTAGCTTTCTGCTCGCTAGATGTCCACCGCTAACTGTACGTCTAGCTCGAAGCAACAGTGTCCACTCCGGCTGCCATCACGAACATTACCTCTGCTGGCACGAGTTTGCCAACCAGTCGAGACGAAGCTGCAAAACGTGACAGCTGAAAGTGAGCAGTCGTTACTACGATGTATCCACCGAGCTGTCCAGTAAAACCACTGTAGATCCAGTTTACTGTTCACTTCCACAGTTCACTTCGGCTGTCAGTCACCTGCCCCCTTCTTCTTTTCCCACCCCCCTTTCTTCTTTCTTATTCTGTGTTTAAATGTGTGCAGTGGTGACACTTCTATGTGAAACACTGCCCCCTACAGGTAAAACGTAAAATTATCCTCTGGGGTTTAAAGCTTCAGCTTGGCGTGCATTTTAAATTTCCCTTTGCTTTTCAAGATTAGTAGAACCTCATGAACCTGATGAATAAAACTTTTTTTTTCAGCAATAAGGATTTAAAAATATGAACATATTTTATTTAAACTTTAAACCTTGTCCCCCTGACAGCTGGCCTAAAACTAATGTCTTCATCATTTGAAGGAAGCATCTAAGAGGTTAACAAAGTCCATGCTCAATAATCCAGGTATACAATCCAACATTTTCAGGATTGTATACCTGGATTATTGAGCATGGACTTTGTTGTTTTCAACCAGTTTGCCAAGACTGTCAATAAGGAAGAGGGAGGGCAATGGAGGAGGTACCAAAGAGACCATCTTAACACAAGCAGAACTGGTTTGTTCCACTTTGGAGTAAGCTGTTGGGGAAAGAATCAGTTTTGTTGTGTGTTTCCTTGACTGATGAAGCCTTCTGGATTGAAAGCGAAACGTTTCAGCACAAAAAAAAAAGAAGAAAGTTTCCAGATGACCTGACTAAAAATGTTGCATCTCAGAGTTTTTTTCATTCAACCTTTATTTAGACAGGTAAATCCCATTGAGCCTCGAGGACTCATTTACAAGAGAGACCTGATTTCAACAAAGAACGATGACAACAACGGACAACAATAGACAGCCACAAAAAGGCATACAGAATTTTTCTTTTTTAACTAATAATTTGGCAAAAAAAAGTAACAAAAACCAGCTAGATTCTAAGGCAAATGTAAAAAACTAAAAACAGGAACATGTCTGCATTGGTCCCTGCCAGGAGTCCAACAGATTCTTAAAGCCACTTAGAGAGGTCAAGGTCGAGAGCTTCAGATCTTTTTGTAAAATATTCCAGGAAACAGGAGCGGAGTAGGAGAAGGTCCTTTTACCTAGTTCAGGCCTCACTGAGGGAACACTGCAGGTAATAATGTCCTGAGAGCGCACGCCGTAGCTGCACTCACGCAGAGACATGTAGGAGGAGATGTATGAAGGCAGCAGACCAAGAAGTGATTTAAAGATGAAAATATACCAGTGAGAGAGTCTGCGTGAAGTTAAAGATGTCCAGTTAACCAGTGAATACAGGGTGAATTGATGGGTACAATAATCACAGCCAGTTATGAATCTTAGTGCACCATGATAGACAGCATCCAACATCTGCAGGGTTCTTGTAGGAGCGTTCATGTAAATAATGTCACCGTAATCAATGGAGAGAAGGAAAGTCACAGATACAAGGTGTTTTCTAGCATTCAGAGTTAGACAGGATCTGTTTCTGAAAAAGAAACCCAGTTTAACTTTCAGTTTCTTTACCAAGTTTTCCACATGGAGCATAAAAGAGAGATGTGAGTCGACCAAGATACCCAAATATTTATAGGAATCAACAAACTCAATGGGGACATCATTTGAGGATAAAATCGGAGGAAGAACTGCTGGGACCAACTTCCTATTTGAAAAAAGCATCCCTTTGGATGGCATTTAGGACAAGTTTGAGGTGGAACAAATCAGACTGGATGATGTTGAATGCAGATTGCAAACGCTTGAAAGACTTAGCAACTGTTTTAGCTCGACAATAAACAACTGTGTCATCAGCATAGAAATGTATGGATGCATCAGGGATGTTTTTACCTACATTATGTATGTAGATTGTAAAGAGGGTGGGTCCTAAGACTGAGCCTTGTGGTACTCCATTGTTGACTGTTAAATAACTGGAGGAAGTACCATTATGTTGAACACATTGCCTCTGGTCTGAAAGATAGTTAGAGAACCAACCAATGGTGTGTTCTGAGAAACCGATTTCTGAGAGTTTATGACACAAGATGTTACGATCCACAGTGTCCAAATCTTTAGACAGGTCTAAGAAAAGTGCAGCACAATAATCCTTAGCATCCAGTGCTTCAACAACATCATTAAGAACCTTCAGTGAAGCAGTCGTAAGCAGGTTATTATTATTTTTCTGAAAAATTAAAGAACCCAATAAATAAATAAAATAACCCAGTTTGGGGTAATTATGGTTTTTTTTTGGGGGGGGGGGGCACCCTGGAATTTTCAGCAGCCCCCACATGGTCACCCCAATTAAAAAAAATTCTGGAGGTCACACTGATACAAATAAAACAGTCCTCTGTTTTTATTTTCAATTTTGCAATCCAAGCAATGTTTTCAAGAAGTAATTACTTGTTGTTTTAAAACAACCTGTTTTAAAATTAGTGCATCAACCAAACTCACTTAGAGAATCAAGAAACAAAGACTATGTTGTACATCAGACAGCTTTTGTAAGTGATTATAATTTATGAAACCTGAAAAACAAGTGGTCATATGTTTTATACTTTACACTCATTCATTTATCAAAGAAGGTCCATAGGTTGTTGATCATTTATCTGATAAACTGGTAAATTTCCAAGATAGGTTAGCGCTTGGAGTATGTGTTGTGAATGACTCTCAACTACTACCACTGCTAAATTATCTCCATATCATCTACAACTGGGCTGACTCCTGAGGTTAATCAGTTGTTGATGTACCGATAATCCCTGAGAGTTTCATTAAAATCCGTCTTGTGATTCATGAAACATTTTTCTAACAGACGCAGTTGACTCCACTATTTCTCAGCAAAACTTTAAAACAGACCTTGCTCGATCAGTTGTATACCGGCATATTTTAGTTATATTTTAAGACCTCTCCAAGAAGGGGTCTCTGCAGGCAAATTCGGAGAAGGGGTCTCTGCAGGCAAATTCGGAAGGCGTATCTGGGCGCTCATATCTGATTGGACTATAGGAAAGTGGGCGTATCTGGGCGGTCATATCTGATTGGACGATAGGAAAATGGGCGTTTCTGGCTGGCCGGATCTGATTGGACGATAGAAAAATGGGCGTGTCGGACGGCCACATCTGATTGGACGATAGAAAAATGGGCGTGTCTGGACGGCCACATCTGATTGGACGATAGAAAAAAAAAGGCTGAACGATAAAATGCCGTAACCATAGACACATTATGTCTAAAAACAAGGCGTTATTGGCAGATTGTGTTAACCACAGGCATATTATGTCTATGGTGTTAACCGGTTCGACATTAGCGGCGTCTCGGTTCGACATCGCTCCAGTATACTGCCGCGGCGTCTCCATAACTTCTTTTTTCGACTCTCTTAACACAGAACTTCCGGTTACATTTCAAAATAAGAGCAACATAACTGGGTAGTGGGGAGAGCTAAATGTTAGGTTTTTTTTTTTAATACCTAGCCATAACATTAAAAAAACAAATTCCATTTTGGTTGTTGAAAAATGTGAACAAAGTTACAATCGATTCATAAAGAAAGAAAAATATTAATGATACTTAAACTGGCCTTGGGACAAAGGAGGTTTCCTTTAACTTCACATTGTCTTGTTCAACCTGCAGTCACTGCAGATGAGTGATTGTCAGTTTCTGTAAGATTTCTGCAACTGGAGCAGGTATTTCTGTTTACTGGTTAACTTCCTCAGCTGTCTCACATTTTAAAGGTCAACCCTACTCCATGTTTCAGTAGAAAACCAGCACATTTAGGAGTCAGTACATAACCAGACTTTTGGCCCTCACAACTGTACCCAGTTGCTTATGCTGCATGATGAGATCAGATTTATCCATATTTTAGAAATTACATTTAGCTTAGTCGACAAAACAATACAAATGAAGACCGTCTTTAAAACCCTCTTGGTTTTGCAGTAAGCAGCCTGACTTCAAACTGACATCTTGGCCAAAGGTAAAATAAAAATCTTTGTGTTCTCAGAAAAGTTGTTTCAGGACCTCCAATAAACTTATGTACACATCAAAGCACACAAGACAGATTCAGGAATTCTCTTTGTTTTCCAGATTTCACATTTTTTTATTACCTTCAAACATACTCAGACAACATTTGATGCATCATTGAATTTTTTTATTGTGTTTATTGGGACATCCATTTTTAGAAGTCATCGTAGCATCTGTTGGAAACACAGAACATAGTACAGTTAGGGTGTTGCTAGTTGTTACTTAATCCTGGATTGGATTTTAAAGTTAATTTTGATATTTTTTTCACAAGGAAAAAAAAAGTTGATTTCCTAAAGTTTAACTATAAATGAAGGAATTTGTGCATTCAGGTAATTTAAAATTAAGTAATTTCTCTAACATCCAACCCATTTTAGCCACTGAGCCATACCAAACACCCATAATCTATTCTTGAATGAATTATTGACTATTATTGACAAATTACAGACTTTTTATTGAATAAGTTATTACTCATTATTGAATCATTGACAATTTACACTCATGTTTGTGTTAACTCATGTTGCAACAAGGTCAGCAACTTTTGACTATTACTATGAACTATGTTAAACTTTGGAGGTGATTTATTTTGAAGGTCAACATCAGATGTTGGTCAAAGTTTCTGAGCAACATCAGATGTTGGTCAACATTGTTGAGCAACATCTTGGGGTCTTCTAGAGTCAGTCTGAAGTGAGAGTGGTTCCTGACATGGCAGAAAGACATAGATATAATTAACAGCTTTTATTTATTTATTTTTCAGCTAATAACAACTATTATTTATTTGTTTTTCATATTTTTCAGTTATACTCAGCTTTTAAATATTTATTTTTCAAGTATTAAGAACTTTTATTTTCAGCTTTTATTTTGAAAAGCAACACCCAGTTGTTGTAAACGTGCACAGTGAGAGCTGCTGGAGCCGAGTGGAGGCTCACTTTACCTCAGTGCGTTACGACAACAACGAGAGAACGGTCGAAACTATCGTGACCTACAATAAACGTACTTCAATAAAATGCATAAGTGAAAACATAACATACTTTATAAGTACAATAAATCATATTTCTTTGTCAAACATCGCAAAGAAACGTTACCTCATCAATAATCCTCGTGACTTTAA